TTGCACAAGATAGCCATCTCTCTGGATGAAGTGTGGGCATTTTTGATCATATTAATTGAAACTTGAACAATATATAAAAAGATAAACAACAAAATAACAGAGCTTTAAAAGAGATAAAAGATGTTTTACCATTGTTAATAATATATTGTACCTCAGGGAAAAAAGATGTATTGAGGAGAATATTCAACACATTCAGAGGATGTGCTAATGACTATTAAAAGTTTATAAGAAGCTAAAAGAGAAAAATCACTCATTCTAATGGATTTGCTATATTGCATCTACATGCTGTATTTGCTGCATCCAAAATGTGCATATTTTAAAGGAGTAAATCCAAATGGATAAAACATATCCCTGAAAATCTTAATCATTTTATGTTCTCCTTGGATTGTACAAGATAGCCATCTCTCTGGACAAAGTGTGGGCATTTTTGATCATATTAATTGAAAATTGGACAATATATAAAAAGATAAATAACAATATATAAAGAAATAAATAACAAAATAACAGAACTTTGAAAGAGATAAAAGATGTTTTACCATTGTTAATAATATATTATACCTCAGGGAAAAGAGATGTATTGAAGAGAATATTCAACACATTCAGAGGATGTGCTAATGACTATAAAAAGTTTATAAGAAGCTAAAGGAGAAAAATCACTCATTTTAATGGATTTGCTATATTGCATCTACATGGAAAGAGATAGTGGTACTCCTTACTTTGTTTTATGTCAATACATGAGTACCCTTTAATGAATGAAATAGTCTCTGCTAAATATCGTAAGCAAAAAACATAAAAAATAGAGATATCTGCTGTTTGCTTCAGAGCTATGAAAATGAAATTTCATTAGTGGCTATTATCTGGTTTTATATAATAGAAGTACACCAAATATGAGACTATAAATACTGAATTGTGTTAATGTGAAGAGAATAGAAAAATTGGTGCTTTTAATTTGCAGATGTGCAGCTCTGTTGAAGACTGAATTTTAGTTTTAGGTGGCTTATTATTCAGAGCTTAATGCTGAAAACTAGAAAATCTTTCTAGTTATCTTAGTTTGGCAAAAATCAACACTTACTTCTTCCATTGAAATAAATATGGGAATTGTATGATGTGCGGCAGTAAAAAGACTGGTGGGATTTGGAATCAGAAAAACCTGGGTACAAATTTTGAACCTGGCATTTAGTAAATGTGTAAATTTGGTCAATCTTATATGTAAAATAGCACATTAATACATGTTGTTTTTATCAGGATTTGTTTGTAAATCAGAATAGGTAAAGGATTATGATTTTTTCCTTTTTTTTTTTTTTTTTGTGATGGAGTCTCACTCTGTTGCCCAGGCTAGAGTGCAACGGTACAATCGCAGCTCATTGCAGCCTCCACCTTCTGAGTTCAAGCAATTCTCCTGCCTCAGCCTCCTGAGTAGCTGGGACTACTGGCATGTGATACCACACCTGGCTAATTTTTATATTTTTAGTAGAGATGGGGTGTCATCAAGTTGGCCAGGCTGGTCTTGAACTCCTGACCTCAGGTGGCTCCACTCACCTTGTCCTCCCAAAGTGCTAGGATTACAGTCATGAGCCACTGTGCCTGGCCAGGTTTATGATTGTTAAGTGATGCAAAATTGGCTATATTAGTCAATGTAGAGTAACTGATATAAATAGAAAATCCTAAAATTTTCAATGATTTAATACAATGAAAGCTTGTGATATGGTTTAACTCTGCGTTTCCACCCAAATCTCATTGCAAATTATAATCCCAGTAATTCCCACATGTCAAGAAAGAGACCAGGTGGGAGATGGTTGGATCATGGGGACAGCTTCTCCCATGCTGTTCTTGTGATAGTGAGTGAGTAATCATGAGATCTGATGGTTTTATAAAGCGGTTTTCTCTGCTCTTGCTTGCTTTCTCTTGTTTGCCGCAGTGTAAGATGTGCCTGTTTCCCCTTTTGCCATGATTGTAAGTTCCCTGAGGCATTCCCAGCTCCGCAGAACTGTGAGTCAATTAAACCTCTTTTCTTTATAAATTACTCAGGTCCAGAAAGTTATTACAGCTGTGTGAAAATGGACTAATACAGTTTATTCTTGATTATGTGATGGATGTAAATCACTAGGTTGAGGGAAGCATTTGTTGGCTCTGTCATCCCCTACATCAGAGACTTCTGGTAGCTGGAAAACACAAAAACAGAGAAAACATGGAATCAGGTGGGAGGCTTTAGCGGGCCAAGCATGAATGTTACATATATCATGTGCATTTATGTTCCATCAGCCAAATTCAGTCACATGGCATAAAAATAGGCTAGCTGTGTACTCAATAAAAAGATGAAATAATTTCAGTATCTGCTCATTGACTAAGTGACCTAAGCCAATTTAACTGATGTAAATAATCTAAGGTGATTGACCTAAGCCAGTTTAGCTATTCACAAATATTAATATTAGTTTTCTTTTTTTTTTTTTTTTTTGAAACAGCATCTCATTGTCACCCAGGCTGGAGTGCAATGGCATGATCTTAGCTCACTGCAACCTCCACCACCAGGTTCAAGCAATTCTCCTGCCTCAGCCTCCCTAGTAGCTTGGATTACAGGTGCCTGCCACCATACCCAGCTATTTTTTGTATTTTTAGGAGAGTCAGGATTTCACTATGTTGGTCAGGATGGTCTCAAACTCCTGGCCTCAGGTGATCCATCCACCTTTGTCTCCCAAACTGCTGGGATTACATGTGTGAGCCATCATGCCTGGCCAGTTTTCTTAAAAGTGGATTTTACTAGTCTATAATCATAGTGATTATTAGCGAGAACACATGATATTAGCTTTCTGTTCTTATGTTAATTTGTGTAGGATGATGGCCTCCAGCTGCATCCACGTTTCTGCAAAGGACATGATTTAGTGATTTGTATGGCTGCATAGTATTCCATTTTATAGATGTATCAAATTTTCTTTATCTAATCCACTGTTGATGGACACCTAGGTTGACTTACTGAAGTTATTTCTTAAAAGATGCATTTCTATATCTTCTGGTTTTGATGTTTTGGAGATCTGATTCAGATAAAGATTTGCTAGATTGTATTTATTTCTTTATCCTCCTTCTACTTCCCCCAAAATTTCAAGTAGTTAATATCAGGTATAAGATTATGTTATAAACTGCTTTTTAAAAGCACTAAGCTTGTCATTAATTTTCCTACTTTTTCCTAATGAAAGAATTTGTGAAAATGAATCATAAATTCAACAACTATTTATTGAGTGCCCACTGTGTGCGAGGAATTGTTGTATATGCTGGAAGTTAGCAATGAGCAAGAGAGAGGAGTTTTACTTTTTCACAGGGCTCACTTTCTTCTGACAGAAGGTGGAAAAGGAATAACACAGAAGTGAGCAGGCATGTGTATAGGCAAAAATGCCAGAACAAAAAATAGGGTGAAGTGTCAAAGAAACTTCTTGAAGGTGGATGCTGATTGAGGGAGAAATAATTAAACTGAGATGTGAATGGAAGTCAGGCATGTGAAGTTAGATGGAGGAAACAGCTAATGCAAAAGCTATAAGGCAGGTGTAGTCCAGGAACAACAGCCATCTGTTTCCTCAAGCAAAAAGGGGTAGAAAGTAAAAACCAGAAATGAGGCTGAGTGGAGCAATGTAGGAGACGCATCAGAAGCAGGCGTCTGATGATATAAGACATTGTAATCTGTCTTCCAAAACACTCTTCTGGACAATTGCACACTTCAACCAACACTTCCTTTTTAGGATATGTTAGTGTTAATGCTTTCACTTTTCCTTATGCAGTTTATAGATACCATTTTCTCCTTATGGCTGCATTTTATTGGGTTGTTAATCTACATATAGTTTCTAATGTCTGAAAGCTCTGTGACCCGATGAACACATTTACATACCATTGCCAGTCACTTCTTGGCTCATTTACACCTGCCAAAAGATGGTGAGCATTGGACATCTGTGCACCTTATTGATATATGTTTTACATATTATCTTAATTACTTTTCACACTGAGTTGAAAGGTTTGTGATATGACACTGGTTCTTTAGCCTATAAGCAAAGTTTGGCTCTTGTACTTTAATGAATGCATGACTGGCTAGATCCTATGCATATTACATATGTTCATTGGCAGTCTTAAGCTCCTAAAGGATTGAGACAGTTTAGCTCTGACTAACCTTAATATTACTGCTTTAATGGCAGGTGTGAATATGCTTATTATGCTACAGCTGATGACAAAAAACAGAGCTGGTTAACATCTGAAGTGTGACACCAGCTGTTAAACGCCTCTATAATAAGAAAGTGTTTCTTCTCTAGAACAACTATGAATGGGAAACCAGAACATATTTTTGTGCCCATCTGTTTGTGACACAGCTTAGAAAAATATTGTTAAGTGATTTGAGGACCAGTTTCTGGGTCTCTTCCACACTGTTTCATGTATTTCATAGTTTGGCAGCTATTTAGAACACTTTGAATATCATTGGCTTACATAGCTAATTTATACTCGCTCTCTAATATTGAAATATTCCATAGAGAATCATTCTATTCCTGCAGTTGTACTTTATAATCCTTCTTGTTAATGCAAAGAAACAAACTCCCACACGTTGAACAGTCTGAGCTATTTGCATCATCATACTCTGAAGCTTGCAATAATTTTTCTTCCTCTCAGGTAACAAAACAAATACATTTGTATCAATGATGCGAACAATTAAAGAAATAAGCTAAATTAGAATATTTTAAAGGAATGCCACCTTCTAGATAAAACCATTAGTGACTGTCTCATAAAATCCTCACTCTATCAAACTCATGCAAGATTGGACAGAAATTCCAGAAGTTGAATCTCTCATACTTATTTAGCTGCCAAAATGTAAATATTGCCTCTAGAAAATGTGTTTAAAGTTTTACATTACAGAGGCACTGATGCGTCTAGGATTACTTATTCTGTCCTAAGTATTATAGAACAGGTGTAAAAGCTCACAGTCTGACTCTGCCAGCATTTCTCATTTCTGAAATTTACTTTACTGCACAGAATGAACAAAAATTCTTTCCAAAGGATTATCTGCAAATGATCCAAAAATGTCTTTGTGAGTACTTTTATTTAATTTTTGAGATCACCACTTATAGCTGTGATTTGGCAAGTGTTTCTTTTTTACAAATACCTCATCATCTTTCACAGATTACGAAAAACGAGTTTGAATCCAATCTTATCTGCGACTTTTGTTACCTTTCTTCAATGTTAAGAGCAACTTTTTGTGAGAGCAACTGGCTGAGGCTTAGATAAGGGTTTTGTTTTTGTTTTTGTTTTTTTTTTTTTTAAAGCTAAGAATAGTGAAAGGATATTTATTGATATCTTATTACATGATAAACATATTGAACAAGATAATGTCCCTGCCCTCCAGCAGTTTATACTGTTATCGAAGGACTGGAGCATATAAAAAGGAAACTCAATATAAATCTTATGTTTGTGTATTAAGGGCTATGAGAGGGGAAATGCAATCAGAGAGAAGACTTGCTGAAGGAAACAATATCTAAGCTGAAAGCTGACTAATATATGGGGTTACCCAGAAGAAGAATGGGGATAGTCAAAGGAAGGATGGCTCAGGTAAAGGGCCCAGCATTTGCAGAACCCTTGAGTTGAGAGGACATGATCTGTTCTGAGAATTGAAAATAAATAGCGCACTATAATTAACTTATCAATTGCATTTTCTTAAGACACAATGGTGTCTTAGTCATCTTGGGCTGCTATAACAAAATCCCATAGACTGATGTCTTAAACAACAGACACTTATTCGCCACAGTTCTGGAGACTGGAAAGTCCAAGATCACGACAATGGCAGATTTGGTTCTTCGTTAAAGCCTTCTTCCTGGCTTGCAAAGTGGTAGCCTATTTGTTGTAACCTTACACAGCTGAGCCAGGAAGCTCTGATATCTCCTCTTTTCATTATAAGGGCATTGATCCCATCATGGGGTTTCCACCTTCATGACCTTATCTATACCCAATTACTTTCCGTAGGTCTCACCTCCTAATATAATCGCTTTTGGGGATAGGGCTTTACTGTGTGAATTTTGGGCAAAGCACAAACATTTAGTCCAAACAAATGCAATTTTTCTTAATATATAAAAATAAATTTCAAATTTTTGTTAAATTATTTATTTTTATTAACTTAACAATAGTGTATAGGACTTTATTCCTAGGTGCTCGCCAAAAATTTTCAGGTGGAATAAGAAACCTATAAAATGATTTTTATATCTAGTTCTCCCCAGAAACCTTGAAACTGGTATTTTCTAAAATGATTTTCTTAGTATTTTCTCTGAACAAAATATATTTCAATTTTGACTGAAAGAGATGTGCAAACTCTGGAGAGGAATGTTTTGTTGAGCTAGAATTCTGCATAGTAGAAATAGGCCAGGACCAGGACCAAATCACCTTTAACTGCTCAGCTTTTATATTTGTCAAATAAAGGTAATTATCCTTTGCTGTCTCCTTTCCTGCTTCCTTCCAAACTCAATTATCTTAGTAGTGAAGAAAGTCACATTAAAATTCTACTTTAGAAAGGCTAGATGGCATAGTCTAGATAGGCTTTATTTGAAAACTAACAAAAAGATTCTATCAGTCAGAGTCCAAGAGGAGACAAACAGAAGCCACACAATAATTTAAAGAAGAAAAGCTTAATATAAGAATTATTCATTAAAACCTATAACTATAATTGTTAATTATCACTCAGAACTATTAGTTATAACAATAGGGAACTAACTATTAAGATGCCAAAAGAACCCTGAAGCCTATCCTAGGATTAAGAAAGAGTATAAGGAAGAAACAAACTTGGAAGGATGGCCTCTTGCCGTGTCTGGGATTCAGACCTCATTAGACAAGGTGTGATCGTAGCCCACTAGATGACAGAGAAGTTCATGGGGGTTGCATGGCCAAAGGGGGCCTACAGTCTCCAGGCAGTAGGGGGCGCGGGTGAGCCGATACTACAGGTGGGTGCACAGAGGAGTTGAGATGTTCAGTCAGCAGGTGTGTGATGACTGCCTATGGAGGGCTGCAGCAGAGTGGTCACCAGACTGGGCTTGAGACTGAGAGTGCACCAAGTGGCTGCATGCTCTCGACCAGTGGTAGGATGTCCACTGCATATGCCCACCCATGTTCCTCTGGCTGCCACTGATAGGGACAAGAAGAAAGAAAAAACAGGCCATATAAGCAACAGAACGAGAAGCTCTTTTTTCCTGTAATATCCTTCCCATCACTCTCTACTGAAAACAACAAAAAAATCAAAAAAACATAACATTGTAGTTACTGAAAAGACTTGCTTAAATGGATTCACTTCATTGTCACAGAGCAGATCACAAACTGTATATTAGGATTTGAGAAGCAATAATTTGATAAATGGCACAGAGAAAAATGGAAGATAAATTAACAAAGGCAAATTGTAATCTTAACTCAGGGAAATATGTAGGTGCCTGTACATGTGACTGCTCTTCCTCTTCTTGTACTCTGTAGAACAACATACCTAGAATTTGATCCTGAGGAAATATTGCAGTAGTGAAAATTTCATTGATTTGGCCCTTATTTATCTTCATTCTGCCCTTTCTATGTTTGTGCATATGAACAAGTGCACACACACACAGACACACACACACACACACACACATAAGCCTCACCTGAGTCTCTAAAACAATCTGCCTATTTGTGAAGTAGCAATTAAAATATGTCTTCACAGTATTGTAAGGGTTAAAAAATGACGTTTGTGAACACTCAGCCCATTGCAGATACTAAGAAAACGTTTGTTAAATTCAAATCCTTTGTAATTTTTGACTCAATGACTATTGCTTAACAGAATACAAATGAGAAGGACTAGAGTTGGTTTTTCACTTTACATATTTGATGGAAACTTCACAGAAGATCCTAATGGAGATAGTTCAAAGAAAAAATTAGAAAAATGTCCGTGCTCTGCAATTAAATTGATTTAGGCTTTGGAAACTGAAATTACAAACTCATTTTGTAAAAGCCTCAGACTTCTACACTTCTATGAGAACATAACAATTATTAACTGCTACTCTATTTACATAGATGTTTGAAAGTTACAATGTAGGGTTGATCAATCAAGTGGTTATTTTTAATAAAGTCTCTCCTTTCTGCTGGATAATTACCTTTCACATTCAATATGTACTTCTAGCTAAACACACATATATGTGTGTGTACAGACACTCACACACTTATTTACTCTAGCTAGCCGAAAATATTCTTAGTTGAAACATGAATAAAACTACTTATCTCCAAACTCCAGCATTAATCATATTCTGTGTTTTTTTATGCCTTACAGTTCTTGGTGTTTCCCAATCATATACCATCTTATGTCATCAAATCATGCCATTTCTTCTACCTGGACTGCTTTTGAAAGATAATGAATCCTTCAAGCTTTACTGAGGTGCAAACGAAAATTGGTCACTCTGTCCTTCGACTTATCCCACTACCATCCCCTCCACCCACCACAGCATGTGGTCTACACACCGCTTTCATGGTGTATTTCTTGTGTTTCTCGCTTGTATGTGTCTGCTGTGTCCAAATAAATGCTCTTGAATGAGAGGTCCAATATTTCCTTCGTGTAATATGTAAGGGAGGAAAGATGTCTTTTCCTCACCAATTCTAGGTTCATGGCTAAGTCCCCTATAATGAAAACGAAAACACATTAGCAAGAGAAGCATACAATTTAATGGAACATGAAGCCATCATAGGAAATGAAGACCTAAAAAACCAGTCAAACCTGAGGGCTTTTTGTTTTGTTTTTATTTTGTTTTGTTTTGTTTTATTTTATTTTATTTTGAGGCAGAATCTCTCTGTTGCCCAGGCTGGAGTGCAGTGGCATGATCTTGGCTCACTGCAACCTCTGCCTCCCAGGTTCAAGCGATTCTCCTGTCTTAGCCTCCCCAGTAGCTGGGAGTATAGGAACACACCATCACACCTGGCTAATTTTTGTATTTTTAGTATAGATTCGGTTTCACTATGTTGGCCAGGCTGGTCTTGAACTCCTGACCTCAGGCAATCCACCTGCCTTGGCCTCCCAAAGTGCTGGGATTATAGGAATGAGCCACTGTACCCTGCCCGAGTGTGTTTTGATGAAGAGTGGATTGTCATGGAGAAAGGGCAAAGAGCACAATCCAGTGATAATAAACTGGGAGGAAACTTAGCCAAGTCGTTTTTCACATTCTTCTCTGTGCTGTGTGTCTTCAGAGATAAGAACCCTTTCCTATGGATATGGGGTCAGGGGAGGGTCAGAAAAATCCTTCCTATTTTATAAGACCTGCTTCAGGGAAGAAGGGTGGGGGAAAGGTCAGAGACATCTTTTCATATATCTTGTTTTTCAAATTTCTTCACGTTAAAATATTCGATATGCCAAGGTGCCGTATTTTGGGATAACATGTCTTGAATCCCATTGAATATGTTGTGCATTATGCTATATAATTGCTCCCCATTATTTGTTCAGGATAATAGCAACAAGGTAAGTGATATCAATTTGATAATAATATTAGCTATATTTTAAAATTTAATTGCTGAACAGTTAATACATTAGGAGGGCTCAAAATTCAAAAGGCATAATGAGTCCTATATTAAAAACTTTCTCCTTCTACTTAATTCCTCTCCAACTAGATAATAAATGTTATTAGCTTCTTAGCTATTCTTTTAGGTAAATTTTCTACATCTATAAATAAAAACATGTGAAATTCCTCTATTTGTTTAAGGTATGTAGCACTTTGCTTTTTTACCTTAACAGCACATTTAGGATAGCTTTTCACATAACCTATAATCACAGCTAAGATGTTTATTGTTTTCTCTGTACCAGATTTTGTTCCCAGTGTTTTATATGTATTAGCTTATTTAATGCTTGCAACAGCCCTAAAAAGTAAGTACTATTATTATCTCCCCTTCAGTAATGAAGAAACTCAAACACCAAGAGTAACATAAACTGCCTATGGTCATGTGGCAGTAATTACATGACTCAATATTAGAACACTGGCAGTCTGGCTCTATCATTTATGTTTTTATCCCTACACTACACTGACATTTGTAGAACTTCTTCATTCTTATTTTACAAGAGAGGATGAAACATTGACTATTTAACAGCTATATCTCACTGCATACCAAGCACAGGGCTAATCAGATTATTAACTGAAGGAGGCATAATTTATATGGAGTTCTCTCTGACTAGATCATCCCTGGTGATTTTGATGCAAATATTCTGGAGGCCCTTTCTTTCTTCAGGAGGAAGAAGATGAGATGTAGATTTGCAATTTG